ATCTGAAGCGATTTTTAATATTGGTACTCAAGCTGGACATTTGAATTTGTGTCCCGTAAGGGGTTTTTTTGGTTGGTTGTGGTTTGTTGGTTGTTAGTTGGGTTTTTTTTTCCTTTCTGTAATAGGTGTTCATTGCAATTATTCTTGTCAGAATTTGGGGAAAATGTTGCCCCGTCCTCACCTCACAGGTGAGGAACTGGGGAACAGTAGAGCACAAACAACTTGTAGCTAAGCTGTCCAGAAGGAGCAAGGAACCGAACCTTACTCTGTTTTAAGTCTCAGGCCAGTGTTGCTGTGTCTAGGTGGCTGTCATTCTCAAAAGGCATTTGGCCGTGAGCAGTTCAAACAGTTGAACCCAAGTTAAGAAGACAAGGTTGTTTCATCCCTCTGTGAAGGCAGACCAGAGAGTATGCCCTCTGGAAACTCAGCTTATTTCCCCGAGCTTCAACTTGAAAAAATATGTAGTTGCCCTACTGTTCTGCAAATGTACAGCAGGTGCAGTGGTTTTTCCCTCTGTTTGTGAGTGCAGGTAGAGAATCATCAAAAGTAATGAGTTCAAACTAGAACAAAATTGACTGCTATCAGAAGATAATAGGCTAGTATAATGTAGGGGCTTTATTGGAGCACATGTTTCTCCATTTTGCTCAGAATCCATAACAACTACAATGAAATATGAAATGGACAGTAATCTTGGGAAAACTAACTTTGCAAAACACCGTTCTGCTAAAATAGCAATATTATGTTTATTTTATCACATACGCAAATAAATTTACTACTTCTACTTTTAATTTTTTTATTGATACCTATGAAAATTCTGTTTTACTTAGAACGTGAAAAGTTTAAACCATTTATCTTTGTAGAATTGTTCACATTATTTACAGATTGAATATTTGTTTTAAAATCCAAGATAAGCAAATGGTACATTAAAAATAAAAATACTGAATGGAAGATTCACTGTTAGAAGCAGTCTTACTGTTTAAGTTGCTAAGGAACTGAACAGTTTAAATGTTTTTTTATATATATATATATGTGAAATCTGAAATTGTGAAATCCATCTGGGGCTTGTGTCTATGTAAAATATAATTATTTTTTAGAATAGAAAGCTGTAAAATATGTAATAATTGAATTTGAAAGTTCATTCTAATAAGAAAAGGATAGCTTCTAACGATAGAAGTATTAGTAATATGAAAGCATGTGTTTGCTAAGTTAGGTAACTTGTAATTTCTAAGCTAATTACTGGAGTGATGCTAAAGAATGTTAATTTCAAATTCTTTCATTATCTTAAAGCAAAAAAGTAATCCTGAGAGTTAAAAGTATGCCTGGGACTGGCTGGCTGTATTTTTAGTAAGGGCTTAAGGTAAAGTCCATGTAACAGTTGAAATTAAAGAAACAAAACAAAAAAACACCAAACAACCTTTGTGTATTTAATTAAAGGTGGTAGTTTTTATACTTAATAAACTAATTATTTCAGGAATGTAAGTTATTAAAAAGAGCTTTTACATCCTTATTTTGTAGAATCAACATCTGAGGAGACCGGACAAAGTGCGAAAGTGCTCAGGAACAGGACATGTATCATTAACTACAAGAAACACATAAAGCTGTCTAACGTGACTGAGAAGAAAAATCCACGCAGATGTGCCACTTTGGCAGCTAATAAGATTAAGATAATGAGCGATACAAAGGAAGAATTATCAAGCTCAGAAAGTGATCACACAGTGAAAAAGAACAGAAGGCAGCTTCATGGCAATGTGTCTGCAGCATCCAGGAAGAAACTGATCGGCAACTCGGAGATAGATGCTTGCTTAAAGTCTGAAAATGAGAGAGAACAGCTTTCTGGCAGAAAAAAACTTGCCTGCCTTGAATCATCTGCTCGTAAAAGAAAATACATTAGTGAGCCTGAGAATGAAAAAACAGAATCTGAGGCAGAGATAAAAGTGACTCAAAAGCAGGATGATGATCACCACAAGCAGGCACACAGAAGAGTCTGTACTGTAGCTCTTACAAAGCTCGAAGTTGAGTCTTCAGAGGAGAATTCCACAAACCACAAGATGGAAAATGGGAGAAACTGGGCAAGCTCTAGTCAGTCAGCTTCAGCCCACAACCATCATACGAGCAACTCTGAAGAGGAGGTAGATTCTGACTTAGCTAAACACAAAACTAAAAATATCAGAGAAGTATCAAATAAAAAATCTAGAGCTCCTTTCAAAAGATCAAAATTATCGGATGACTTCAAAGAAACGGTGGAATCCGAAACAGAGGGGAAGAAAGATGAAAAAAGCTCGATATCAGAGGATGTGGAAGCACCTGGGACTGCGGGAAGTTCAAAAGCCAGTTTCAATTGTTCTTCTGATTCAGACTCTGAAACTGGTAACAGTATCTGTAGCAATGCCACAGAAACAAGAAAGAGGAAAAGGAAATGGGAAACTCTTAGAAAAGAAATTACCTATTCTGACTCACTTAAGCCTTCCGAAAGACCCCAGCGAAGGAAACGTTGGAAGCCCGACCAAGAAAATGACTCTGAAGATTTGGATTACACCAAATATAGAAGAGCTAATCGGCGTTCTAAGATAAGAACTCGGAACTGCGGTAGACGGACTGTGAGATACGACGATTGTGACGACGACGACGATGACAGAGGTTTAGATGATACCGATTGCAAAACGTAACCTTAAAAGGAAAAGCCAGCCCACTTTTTTTTTTTTTTAATTTTTAAATTGTAATAGCACTAGAACTCATGATGGATGCTGGCTTTTCTTTGTCCTACATTTCAGGGAATATATTTATATTTTTCTATGAAAAAGATATGAATGTGACTAGATGATGACTTTCTCCTTTTCATATTTTGACTTGCACTTGCCTGCCCATGTAGCAGCATTTAGCACAGATGCCAAAATGTGCCTCATTATAGGGGCAATTTTTTGTCTTTACTGGTATTTTATTACATATAACAAGAGTTTAAAAAATGTTAAAACACTGCGCAACAGGTTAATAGCAGTATGTTGAGTATTATCGTGATGGGTGCTGCAATGGAATACTACCTAGGTCATACACCATTCAAGAACAGATTTCAAACATCTCTGATGCTGTATGAAATCACATACAATAGCAACAGGCTTATAAATAATACTGTACACTATGGAAAATCTGGCAGACGTTAGCATTGCATCAAAAAAATCATGAACGGTCACTAGGCTAGTAACTTTACAACTTGTATTAGTACAGATGTTAAATGTTCTGTACTTCCATTATCGGTAACATGCAACTAGAATGTGATACGCAGTGAAAAAGCGTATTTGCCACTTAAAAAGGCACACCGGTGCTGGTGAAAGAGGGTAGTACGATCATCGTTAATGTGACTTCTATACTGTAAACTTAAGAATATGAAATGCAGGTGAACTCTTGGGCCTGTGTGTTTTCTTTATAAAACAGAAAAACAAACAAAACACTTGTTCTGTTTTCTTTATGCCTGAAAAGCTTGAGGTGCAGGATTCTTACATTCCAGACCTTTTTGCTCCATTTCTGTTGTTCTTCCATATTTAAACTTCCAAGTGCTTTAATGTTATTACACCTGGCACTGATTAAAGCTTATCAGTTTCTGATTATTGCAGTACATCTCCTGTTTTCGAAATGTTTGAATTGGCTGTTGTTGATGAGGAATAAATGTGTAAATTCTTGGTTGGCCGTGCTATCGTCTAGGAGAACGCGTCGCACCTCTCAACACTGACCTTGCGTTCCCTGGAGCTGTGCTGGCAGGAGCCGCACCGTCGCTGCCGTCACTCCAGCACCAGGCACTTCGGGATCTCTGCTCCGTTCCCACTTTCCACTACAGGTTTACTCCCTCTGCTCTGCCAGTTCCCTTTCTCGTACTTAGCAAGACTTGGTGATTCCTGATCTCTTTGTTCAATAGGACATAGGTTAAAATATTAGATTTATCCTAACCCAGCTCATTTTAACTGAAATAGAGATTTTGTGAATTAGTTTTCCAGCAGACTGGACTGGTAGTACCATCTGGAAGGGTTTTTTGGGGAAAAAAAAAAGTTAGTGCAGCTGCTTAATTGCAGTCATTAATGCCAAAACTGCTTGTACAAGTGGAAGTGAAAGAATGGAAAACTGGGTCCCACACGCTGCCTACCAGTGGCTGGTGAGAAACGCTTCTCCAACAACACTGCTGACAGGATGTGCCGAAAGGTGTATTTACTCACATCATTTTGGTATATAGAATGTTATCTCAGTATGGAGAAATACTCTTTTTCTTTTCTTAAAAGTTATATATTAAGTCCAAAAATAACCAAGTTCATATCGTTCTTGCTCTCCAGGATTTTTCGTTGTTTAAACATACAGTAGAATTTTGTAAATTCAAGATAAATGTTTATCTAAATTCTTTAATTTGGCTTCTAAAATATGAACACAGTTGTGTTTCGTGATGAAACTTGAAGGTGGTTTTGTTTATCTTCCCTTTTAAGGGCAACTTTGTAAAAAGAGAGTAAGTCAACTCGTATTTTTATATTTTCCATAAATTGTTCAGCAGATGCTTATGGTCTATGTTCTATGGAGTATAACTTCCAGGATAGGAATAAATACTGGTATAATAGCTCTTAAGTTGAACGTCAGAGTTTTTATTAATCTTAAGTTTAAACAGATAAAATTGGGCTGGTAGGTTTGTATTTTGGATTCGGGGTGAGATTTAAAAAGACTTTTCTTTCTCACCCTTTTTTTGGATGCTGTATTCCCTGTTGTACTGCACTCGTGCACAGTATGTTCATGATGATCCCTGTTGTGAAAGAAAATTCTGGCCTCTGTATTTGTATATCCAAGAGGGAATTACTGGCTTAGGGACTGTAACACTTTATTTTATAAGCAAAGCAAATGCTATTTTGTATTTTCTAATTTTATACATACTGCCAGGTTGTAAAGAGCCAGTAGGAGCAGACATAATTACTTGCAGAGAGCAGTTTTTTCATCTTCCTGGTAACTTTAATCCTTCAGCGTTCTTTATTTGCTGTAGCTGTACTCAGGGAAGTAAAGTGGTGTTATAGAGCTGTAAAACTAGTATCTTTATTTAAAGCTTCTTACTGCGAAGCATTTGTAAGCTGGGTTTTTGGGGGAAGATGTTTGGTTTGGTTTTTAAGTGGGACCTGAATCTGGTGTAGTGGCTAGCCTAACAGGTACCACTGAAAGGGCAGAAGTTTTATGATGTACGTGGAGAAGCGGACCAAAGTAAAGCTGTACATAAAACTAACATCACTGTACTCTTATTTGCGCTCCTGGTCTGTTTAACCTTCGCGCAGGTGGAGGTCTGTCCCCACAAACCCTACGTGCGCTGTGGCACCGCCCGCCGGGGGAGGGATGCGGCTCTGGGCCGCTCCGTTTGAAATGGGGTAGAACGGCTCACACACACACTGTGTTTGCCCCCTCGGGCCGCTGCGAGGCCGGGGCTTCCAGCACTTCGCCCCGCTCTCGTTCCCAGACTTGGCTACCGTCAGGGGCTGGCACGGCGGCGTCGCAGGCCGCGTCGGAGAGATAAGGTCCGCTTCGAGTCCGGGTGCAGGTAGGGAAGGGGTGCGAGGCGGGGAGAAACCGTGCAGCGCGACTGGGAGGTCAGCAGACCGCCCCCCTCGCCGCCAGGCGGCCCTTCTCCGGGGGCGGGAGCAGACACGGGGGGAACTCTGCGGGGCCAGAGCTCCTCCAGGCGGAGCGCGGTATTTGGGCGCGCAGGCGCGGTGAGCGGCGGGGCGACGGCGATGGCGACCCTCTTCGGGGA